CAACTAGGATGATAAAGGGACTGGAGCATCTCCCCTATGAGGAAAGGCTGAGAGAGTTGGGCTTGTTCAGCCTGAAGAAGAGAAGACTGAGAGGGGACCTTATCAACACATACAATTATCTTAAGGGCGGAAGTCACGAGGATGGAAGCAGTCTGTTTGCAGTGCTGCTCAGCGACAGGACTAGGGGCAATGGGTGCAAACTGAAACATAAGAGGTTTCAGTTGAATATGAGGAAAAACTTCTTTACTTTGAGGGTGACAGAGCACTGGAACAGGCTGCCCAGGGAGGGTGTGGAGTCTCCTTCTCTGGAGATATTCAAAGCCCGCCTGGATGAAGTCCTGTGTAGAATGCTCTAGGAGAGCCTACTTTAGCAGGGGGGTTGGACTAAATGATCTCCCGAGGTCCCTTCCAACCCTTGCGATTCTGTGATACTTCTGTTTACACCTACTGCTTACTGTGTGCTGTGGAAAATCTTATTTGCGCAGTGACTGTTGAGAGCTTACCCCTTTTCTGCTCATTCAGTATATGATCAAAAGGGAGCCTAAAGAGATTAGGATCAGATGAAACTCAACATCTGAAGTTTCTAAAAATCACGAGTAAAATCAGGGGAGATAAAGGAGATGGGAAAAAAAAAAAAGAATCAGACCTACTGCTGACATTTCCGATTAATGTACTTCCAAAGGAGTGCTTTTATTACATGGATTAGAAAAATGGTTTAGCATTAATAAAAAAAATCAGGTATATCAAATCTTCCTGTACATGAGAGCTCCAGCCATTGAGAGCTTGCAATTTAGAAGACAAGCAAAGGAAAAAAAAAAATAAAAAAAAAAATATCAGCACTGTCTTCTGCCACAATGCTTACATACCTAGTCTGCAACTCCAGGCAAGCCAGCAGATATCAAGCTGTTCCTCCCCACTCTTTGCCAAGCTGCCAAATTCCCTGTTTACTGTTAGAAATTCTATTAGACGAGCCCAACCACAGCTCTGTTTTCCTGAGACTCTAAAGTGACCTGGTTCTCCCATTATATCCCACATGCAGGTAACTGAAAACTGTTTCCAAGCTTTGGTTATTAGCTATCATTGCACAGTCAGAACTTACATCCAGCCCCATTGTTGGCGCGGTGCTTTGAAGCAAGGGCTTAGTCACTGGTATTTTGCCACTTGTTGAGCCATTTCCAGCAGTTGGAGGCAATGCATTCACCGTATGATTGTGAAGCTGCGTCGTCCCTCCAGTGACAGCAATGACTGGCTGCGAGGCAGGAAGCACCCCAGAAGCCTGGAGCTGTACCACAGTGGGCTGAGGGAGCACCACTGACTGACCTAGAACACAAGAACAAAAAGGAGCAGCTCAGCATATGATATGAAATGGATTTGTACATGACCAGTTTGTAGGGGAGTACTGACACAAGAGGTAGAAAACCTTGCTTCCTCTCCTCTCCCCCATGATTTATCTCAAGTCCAGTTCTTCAGCATCAGTATATTCCACAGGATGGGAAGGGGAAGAAAAAAAAAAGCACTCTTAATCCATCCTGCAAGCCAAAACTACATATATTAAAGGGATCCACTAAATCAAGCTCTCTCCCAAACCCCAGTGGCTCTTCAAACTTAATAGAAACCAACATTTGTTAGAAACATCACTCATTTCAGTGTTGCTAACACCTGATGCACTTCGAGCAGCTTTTTCAAACAACTTAGCCAGCTTACCTCAGTCCTTCTCCCTTTTGTCCACCCCTACTTTATTGCTGTATTCAGTAGAAAACTTGCTATACAGAAGTGACTCATACTATACAAACCAATTCAGAAACAACATCGAGAAAGAAGATAAACGAGAAAGAACAATGCAAGTTACACTTTCAAAACCTAAGTTAAAGCCTCAATTCACACTAAGACAAGACCAATTTGTTTGAAAAATGTCTTATGTAAGAAATTTTATGCACAACCTGAACAGAGCTTAAAGAAAAGCAAGCAGAAAAAAATGAGGTAGCTTTGACAGAATTTGAAATGGAATTAAGAACAGTCACTTCCAAGAAATTTCAGTCCAACGGCTAAGTTTAACTCAAGCAGGTGCTTGAGTAATATTTTGTTGTCTGAAAACACATGAACATCTCTTTAATCCTTTGTAACAGGATGACCTCGCCAGCATTCAGAAACAGCACGTTCCAGATGAGCATTCCAACCAAAACATACAACGATGTATTACAGCATTTACCCAAGCTTCTGGAAGGTGAAAAATGGAGTAATTTACATAGCACCAAGATCTTTTATGTATGAGGCGTAGGACTAGATCTAGTTTTTTGCAGAGATAATCTTGAAAACATCATAAGTTAGTACTACCCTACTTAAGAACCTCAAATGGTGAATTTGAGATTATTTCAACAATTTTTTAATGCATAAAATATGTGATGCTCTAAGATCATGTTTTCTTCTTTAAGCTTTTATGAAAGGGACTGTAAAAATATCATTCCTCGTGCTCTTTTGAAGATAATAGCATATTCCACACTGGTAGCTCCAACTTGTCATGTGCAGGGAATTTTGATTAACGAAAAAGATCTTTATGGTTTTTGTTATGGAAGTGGCACTACAGAATTTTTAAACACACCATCAGTTAAAGTAAATACATATAGTGCCTCATAGAAACTATTCTCCTGACTTTTCTTCAGGGAAAAGGAGAAGCTGATCTTCACATTACTATACTTATATTCAAAAAAATCCATATCCCCAACATCATTCCCTATTCCAGATGGTATTTTATCAGCTGGAACATCAGAAGGAATAAGAATTAGGTCACACTGACTGTGCTGACCTGTGTTTTAAGCAGTCCAACAATCTTAGGCATGTTGTAACAAATGTCAGCGTCTCCAGCTTTGGCTTAATTCCTGATGGAAGAGCAATTAGAAATGAAGACAAATTTTTCACTATTGCAATAATTTCTGGATACATGCCCTTAAGTATTTGTCTCCTTTTCCTTCCACGCCTCAGTGCCTGTCACAGTCAACCGCAAGAGACTGCAGCCATCAGCTGGTGAAAACGAGCAACTGCATCTGACAATTTCAGCAATGCAAGTAATGCCCCTACTGCCTTAGAGCTGAAGAGTAAAATAATTCTTGGGATTCAGAAATGAAGGCTCAAGCTACTTCAAAAATCTGTTACAGGACAACAGGAGGAATGAAGAATTATCCGGGGCCACGAAATCACTTGCCTCTTGTTAACATCAGCAAGCAACTGTTCTAATCTCTGACATGGCTCTCTTAACTCTTAGCAGATTTCACAACATCCTATTTAATACTGTTTAGTGAGATAAAAAGCCATAAACTCACGTTCCCACCATTCTGTAGCAGAGTTTCATGTGGGTTAAAAAAAAGCTTTTATCACTCCTCCCAAGCTTTCAAGCTTCATTCAAGCCATCCTAAGTGATTCTGCTGGGTCTTCCTTTGGTTACAACAGAATAGCACTGTAATCACCTTATCCACCACTTGCCATCACAAGTAGAGCAAATGGTCCCTAGAGGTGCTTCCAGATCAGGAGTTTTATCTCCACAACTGCCAGTGCTCAGCACAGTCACTTTTGCTATTCTGTCTTCCCTTCCACGCAATGCCCAGGGGAGTGCTGTTTCTCCTAAGACTATATGAGGGGGAAATAAGGCCATCTTCTCAGCCTTTAGGCTTTTTCAACAAAGCATGTAGGACCCCTCTTTTTTTTCCTATCACCCCACAAAGCTAACTTCGCTCTAGCGAGACTGTCCCAACACAGAGATGGTGTTTACCCCCAAGACCTGGCACAGTCTTGACAATTCACCTACCTTTAGGAGGTGCTGGCTGGATGTTAACAACTGGTTGATGCTTTGGCAGTGGCACAAGCGTGGGAAGAGTCTGAATAATGATGGTTTTAGCTGGGATGCCAATGTTTGCCTGAGCCTCAGGTACAGCAGGCAAAAGGGGTTTGGGTTGTATCGAAGGCCTGGATGCTGTCTGACCACACCTCTTCAGGGTCCTCACAGAGTTATTCGCTAGGAAAGGAAAAAGAGTCAGAGTTGGACCAGAAGATACAAAATAAAGAACTCAAGCAGTAATAACACGGCTTTTGGTATGTTTTTTTATTAACCCATCTATAATATTTGTTAAAAATAAACATACCAGATCACAAATTCAAGTCAGAAATGAAAGGATGTACTAGTGTCCATTAAACATCTGTATGCAAGACAATACGCATATTATCTGCAGAATCAAAGTAACTCAATCTTTCGTACCAGACCGAGAAGTGATGCTGACAGCAGGCTTCTTCCCTCCATCTCCTTCAGGGGATGCAGGGCTTCTGCAGCTCTTGCTGTAGAGAGAGATGGGAGACATCTGGGAGCTACAGCTGAAGTCCACATCATCCTGCAGACAGAAAGTACATGAGATTAATGCCTCAGAAAGACATAAAAGTGTCTACTAGCAGTTCAGAGTATAACAGCCTTTCATCATCACATCTGTGTTGCTGCTTCAGCAAACAGGAGAATGGTTTTATCCTGCAGTTTGATTCTGGTCAATGCTAAGCACCACCAAAACCCAAAGAAGCACTTCTCTGTATCAGCAAAGTGAAGGAGGACAGAGGCCAGCAACTGCTAGCCTTTAGAAGGCATTTTGTTTGGCAACCAGGCCAATACACACAACTAAGGAAACAGAACTAAACATGCTCTTTTTAGAACAGGTCACAGCAGGAGAGGAAGGAAAACATCGCTGAAGGGAAGTTTTTTTTGCAAGGGTTGGAAAAATAAGCTGCTTCCTCTTAAGCCATGAAGTTGGTCAGACAAGTAAATCACTGGGGTTTTTGTTTGTTGCAGCTGTTTCTGAATGACCGGTACTATCTGTGTTACATGGAGGTTTCTGCATACAGGCACATTCTGCACTGGGGAGTCCACAGATGATGGAGAAGGGACCGAACAATTTGAAGTGGCTGGTGATAAGGGTTCTGTCTTCACGTTTGCATCTGCAAGAGGCGGATAAAGAAATTTTACTGTACAAGTGTTTAACAATGGGAGATCAGTAAAGAACACGCTGCCCTACACCAGCTATTTAATTCCTGAAGCAAGGCACAGCAGAAAACATAGAGAGATTAAAGAAACTAAACAGCTTAGCTTGTAGGGCAGTCCTCACCAGCTGTACTCGTCTGACAGAAACACAGCATGACTTCTCACCACAGAGCTAAATGCTGCAGGACGTCAAATGGTTTCACAGAAGTTACCACTATCCTAAAGTTAAAACAGCTCACCCTTGTGGGGTGGGGGGGAATACTCACACCTGCAAAATAGAAAAGGTAAATTACCTGCATAAGCATGGCCTGTAATATTCCATAGATCCGAGTCCCAAGACATCAAATCCAAATCAAAATGAAAGTTATAGAGATCATTTTCCTGAAATGACAGTTCAGAAAAAGAAACAACACAAAAAGACAATATACATTAAAACCACTAGCCATTAAGTTCGCATTCTCGCAGCTCTGGAGAACAAAACAAAGCTATCACTTCAGTTGCCTTGAGGCATGCAGAGATAAAAGCCCTTGACGGGGCAACTCTCCACTGGAATACACAAGAGGAGGCTTATTCTAAAGCCTAGAGCTGTAGGAAAGGAGCATACCAGTTTAAGATCATCACTAATTGCTGTACTGTTACCCGTAATTTGTAAAGTGAAAGTTTAAGTCCAGACACTGAACCACCTTATATAAAACACAAGTGTTAGCAACTTGTTGGCATCTTCCCCTTCATCTTAATTCGAAAGATATACTTAATGCTCTTCCATCAGCAGATCTCAAAGCACTTTATGAACAAAAACAGTATCAGTTTACCAGCAGGAAGAGAGACACAAGGACTGATTTGTTCAAGATCTGATAAACAGTACGTATTAGGCATCCCTATACTTGAATAAACCATCATCCTCTTCTAAAGCCAGGTATATACCATTTATCATATGACCTCTAAAACAGCGATGAAGCTTTTGCTCCATTTTTTCTGCTGATGGAACTGTAAGTCTCTGTTCCCTACTCAGATGTAACATTTTTATGAGTACTTGCATGAAAAATATAAATATAAATATCAATTCATATAGATACACAGCAAAGATTTTCTTACTAAAAACTATCCTGCAAACATACCTCCCCTTACATTCTCAACTTGCCTTGTAAACAGAGGCTCAGAAAGTCTACAGACTGCACAGAATTAGTATTTGCAGGCTAGGATGAAGTAAAAGCTCATCAGAGCATATTTATAGGAAGAATGACCAAAAACCACAGCCTGAACTGTGCAGTAAGAGCCTCCACACACGTAACTAATGCTGACCTGCTGATGGGCGACACCCTGCCCGTGAACAACGCAGCAGTTCCCACATTTTCTGCAGCGCCTGGCTGTACAACTAAAAAAAATCTTAGTACCTGAGGTTTATGTTGGATAACCCAGAGGTTGTGCTGGAGGTGGGTTAGGACACAGGGAGCAGAGAGAAGTACGGGGGATGACAGAGAGCGGAGAATCCATGAGGCAAAGGCCCCGGGACAGAAATAGCAGCAGGTACAATTGGACAGTGAAAAACACAGGGATGAATGCCTAAGGTTGCAAGCAAAGGGTTTAGGAGAAAATCCGGGAATAGACAAGAAAACAAGAAGCCATTTTATGGGCAAGGTGATAAAGCACAGCATCGGGGGGCAGGGATGTAAGGTACGCACGCTTCTCCCCTCACGTAACCCAAAGACTACTCTCCCGTCAGCGCTGCCTTGCAGGGGAAGCTTGCCCTCATTAGGTCAGCGACGACACAGCTTTTCCCAGCGCCGCGCCTCAAACTTTCACCTTAAGCTCTGCCTTTCAACCGTGGCTTTTACCTCCCTCGCTTTGATCCGACCGCTCGCTAACAGGCGGACAGCTCCGCACCTCAGCAGCTGGCGCAGAGGGG